ATTCTTTTCCCTATCAAAACTGCATTATTACCATCGCGTGGAGCAATGTCAATTCCACCGTTATTTCCACCAATATTGAGAGCCATATTAGCGGAAACATCGGAAAGGGAAGGGCCGGATCTTTACCGTTGCCAGTATTAGCTGGATCACCGGGTGGAGTTATAATGTCAGGGAATTTCGGTGGCAAGTTTGCCCGAGTAATATCAATGATTGGTAATGGTTTTGCTGAATTGTTGCCAACAAGTTTAATATCAGCACAATTTTGATAGAATTCACGATTTCCTATAGCGTTTATCCATGACCAAGAGAAAAGACATTTTCCGGGATTATCGCATGATGGAGCAGCATTTGGAATTTTTACTTTCCAATCAAAGAAGATATCTGGGCAAGTTTGATGATAAGTAGCAATGACTGTGTAGGTTTCACCCCCATCGTAGGATAAAGAGAATTCACAAAGTCCACCATTATGTCTTGATTGATTATCATTTTCGGAACCTGATTGTGGACCATTGGGAAGTGCCGAAGTCCAAAATTTCACATTGATGACATCACCAGCATAGAAAACTTGTGTGATTTTGGTGTCCATTGGATAGCCACCACACGGAAAGGACTTCCTTGTACAATTTCCAGCTGGAGTTATTGACGCAATAATACAGTCGTAATCTTTTACGGCAGCGTTGGGATTTTGTGGGTGTCCTCGTGGAAGTGGATAAATCATTGATGTGTGTGCTGACACAGCAGCGACACATGATGAGAGTATTACGAATGTTGAAAAGAACTTCATTCCTATTTTCGACACTTGGAAAAAAATAGTATATCGGTGTTGTACGTAATAATGAAACGAGAAAAAAAGGTAAATACTGGTGAAAAACAGAACAAAATCTGTTCTTTTTTAATTGAGTGGATTCAAGCGATATTTATATTAACGTTATTGATGTAAACATTAATTAAGTTTTATTCGACCGCAACCACAATTACACACCCGTAATTGCGCTGTAAAAGGATTCTTTTATCGTTATGCGTTATGTGTCATGTACATACAAAAACACAATATGCACAAAAAAATTCTATAATGGTATGGGTCTCCTTTCAACACCATATCTTGTTTCTTTTTACCGTTATTCATTGGCTTTTTTTAAGAAAAGCTTAACAATAGGCGTTTATTATAAGCAAGTAACTGAGTCACCTAATGGCCAAAACTAAATTTTTTGAAAAATTGGTTTAACAGATATCACAGTAGTAAATGTATTCCTGCTTTGTATATTTCAGTTATCACAAATGAATTTATGGTCTAGCGAAAATAAAGATATCGACTGTAATAAATGAATGCATGAAAATTGATATACTCTTTGAGTGGATTCCTTTTCAAAAGTTTACCAAGTTGCATGTCTTGCAATAGGAGGTTTGGATCCCTGGGACGGAACATACCTATACGGCATACATGTAGAATAGACAATAGACAACGACCAAAAAAAAACTTCCTATACGTACATGCATTTACACATGATTTATACATGACTATCTTTTTATTTGTCTCTTTGTGCTTTAACTCTCGTTAATTAATACATGTACATGTAAAAAATACTGATACATGTACGCCAATTTTTACTAAAAAGAGATGCATCCTTTCAGATACAAAATCCTTTTTTGAAGTACATGTACATAAATAAATTAAACCAATAATTTTCTTACTTCGTTTATAAATTCCATAGAAAACTTTTTTAAATTCTTAAACATTTTAAAGCAACTTTTTTATCTGCAAACATACAGTGATTTGCTGAATATACTTCAGCAAATCCTCCTTCTGCTAAATATTCGATAGTAGAAAACTCGTTAAACTCAAATCTTTAACATGTTGTTCTGCTTTCCAAATGGATTTATCTGTCTTGTAGTTTCTGGTTCTTTTTTCACGTCGTCATTAATTTCGTTAGAATGCATTTGCATACACCAATATTGCTCTTCTAAACATCACTGTTGCATTCAACACTAAGGCCAATGCCAGTTGGATTGTAATTTTTACACAAAATACTTTTATTATCTGCTAAGATGCATTTAGAGCATATAAAATTGCGAGTTTTTTTTTTAGATTAAGGCATCCGGTTACTTCAACATTTAAATTCATAGTCGCCTTTTCGTTGCAATATGAACAAATCACTGAAACGGTATTGAGATTTTTGTATTCTTGACAAAAATGGTTTAAATTTTTATTTTTTTTTGCATGAACAATTTAATGAATTAGTCATTTTTAGAATTTTTATCAAATTCAAAATGAACTTCGCAAACTGGCTGGATATGCTTCGTCGATCTAAATAAAATACAGCATATGTACATTTTCATACGTACGTATACGGTTATGGACGAACAGATATGTCGATCGAAATAAAATATGTACAGTACATGTACGTACATGACATGTATAAACCGTAAAATAGAATTATACATGTATTAGAAAGTACGTATCTGTATGTTCAGATAATTCTAGATTTTTTCTAACGCTAATGTGAAGTTCCATTTTTAAAAAATTCTTTTTATGTACATGTATATCGATATTTTATATAAAACTATAGACTACGTATACAATTGATTGTCCAATCTACAGTGTCGCATCAAATTCAAAAATACCGGAGCAAATTAATTCCAGTCTATGAATCTAAAAACAAAATCTGGAAGCTTGTGATTTAAAGCCATAAGGCGGGTGGACACATCA